TCCATCTGGTGAGCAGCTGGAAAATCGAGGCGTTACACACACTCTAGATCCTGCAGTTCCACTTCAGATTCTGTCCTTGAGAGACTCTGAGCTTTCTGTTTGGGGCTAGAGATGCAAGGTTGTCATGCAAGGGAAAATGAACGAACGGTAGGCATGTGGATGGCAGTATGGATGAATCGTAGCCACGTGACCTCATGACAAAATGAATCTCCCAGGACAGTATTGTGAGTACACTCAGTACCACTGAACTGTACACTTTATAAAAAGGCTATTTTTTTTTGTTGTTACGTGAATTTTACCTCAAAAAAAAAAGTAAGTCCCAGAAGATGGCGTTTAGCATAAGCTTTTATAAAGTGAAGAAAAAAAAGAACCTAAAAGAATATTGTTGGGAACACATCAGTTGAGTAAGACAGTATGGCTCATATAAGTAAAGGACCAGAGGGAAACCATCCAGAGCCTCTCCGGGAGGAGAGCACTCGGACAGATTTGGAAATGATGCCTTTAAAATGAGGATGGGCTCTCAGTTTGCTGGTTTGTTAATTAAGCATTTACTGGAGGCTTCTGCACCAGACATGAGCAGCAGGAAGATAGTTCAGTTTCTGTCAGTTTCCGGTGGGTCTGCGGCTGCAGACGGACTCTGGCCAGGCTGGTTGGAGAGCGGTTCTGGAGGGTGTTACGGAACAATCAGTCTGTGAATTTCTTTTTATTCTCAATATGTATCAAAAGTTGCAAGAATAGTACACAGAAGTCCTGAGCTCCCTTCACCTAGCTTCCCTAAAATGTTGAAACTTTCATAAACATAGTACAGTAATTGAAACCAGGAACTTAACATTGATACAGTACTATTAACTGATTTATAGATGTTACTCAAATATCTGCAGTTGTCCCACTTAACATCCCTTTCCTGGTCCAGGATACCACGTGACTGTTTACTGTCTCCTTAAGTCTTCCCTAATCTGGGACAGTTCCTCAGTCTATGTCCTTCATGACCTTGACACTTTTGAAGAATACTGGCTGGGTATTTGTAACGTGTCCTTCAATTTGGGTTGGTCTGGGTTTTTTTCATGGTTATATTGAGGTTATGTGTTGTTGGCAAGAATACTACAGCCAGGCTGTTGAACCCGTCACAGCGCATCTTATCAGGAAGTCTGTAATGATGATGTGACTCTTTCATACAGGTGTTTTTAACTTGGATCATTTGGTTTAAGGTGGTGGCCAGGTTTCTCCACTGTAGAGTTAACTGTTTTCTCCTTTGTAATTAAGAAATACCTGCTGGGGGGATATATATTGAGACTATGCAGATAGCCTGTTTCTCATTGTATTCTCACCCATTAGTCTCATTACCATTGATGATTCTTTCTTACAGCTGTTACTGCTAATAATTTTTGCCTAATGATGAATTTCTGTTTCCATCCTTCTTTTGAGGATTTTTAAATGGAAGTCTGTTGTGAGAAAGAGCTGTCCATACCACATTATTTGCAAGGCCCATCAAGAAACGACATCTGTGTTGTTTCTGGAAGTTGTACTTTGTTTAGCTACATGCAGACTGGCTAGCTGACCCTTCTGTGTATCAAGGTTAACAGATTCTTTGTCCAAACACTTCCTACTCCTCCCCGCCATTAGTTGGTTAGCTCATGGGTATCTTGGTGCTCATTGTGGGTGGTGAGACTGAGGAGGTTAGTGTCAGTGGCCTTAATAGGAAGTTATTACTCAGAAGAAGCAAAAGGATTATTTATTTGGGGCATGTTATATTTAACTGCTATTCGGAAATCCATGGAATGGCATATAGCAGAATAGTGGGAATGTGTTTCAGGATGTCGTCAGGCTCTTGGAACAGTAACATAGTAACAGAAGGATGAGGAGAGCACTAAGTTTCAGGGACAGAGATGAGAGGGGCATGGGAGTGTCAGCACTCGTGGGCTGTGGGCTGTGGGGGTTGGGTGCCGTGGTTTAAGGACTGAGCCGGCGTGTTGGAATGCGGTTAGACCAGGCAACCTTGGGCAGTTCAGCGGGGCTGTGGGGGGCAGATAGGCTAGACTGCGGATTGAAGCGGGGGCCAGAATCCTCCTCACGGTCTGAAGAGCTTGCCTACCTGCACAGGAGTCAGATCAGTTCTGTCCCCTGGTTTCGAGCCGCAGGGCCCTCTCTCGGTTTCGTTTTGCTCCGCAGCATCAGTGCATGTAATTGCTGCGGGGGGGTGGGGGGGGGGCGTCTGCCTCGTGACACCTGTGGGACCTTGAGCCACTTACCCAGTAATGCCCTGAAACATTTTACCCGTCAGTGAAAACAGGGTCATCACTTCTCAGCCGGGGCCTCCTGCTGCTTCCCCTGGTCCCTGTTGTCCTATACACTATCGCCTGCCTGCTCTGAGGAATGTACCTCCTGCGACGACCCTGCTGTGCTCACAGTGCTCCGAGCCCCATCATCATGACAGGCAGGGGCCTCCGTGATCTGCCACCTCCCGATCCTACCTCGCCCTGCAGCCTTCCTGTGGGCTCGAGCTGCCTTTGCCTTCCCGTGCATTCTCTAGCCTCAGGGCCGTCAGCCATTCTCTTCCATCAGATTGGAACTCTTGTCCCTGCACATGACTGAATGACTCCTTTCCTCCCCTCAGATCTTCATTCAGGTATCACTGAATCAGAGTGTCCTCTGCAGGCTACCCTGTGCAGAATATAGTTCATCCCCTGTGACTCCCCTTACCTTGCTAATTTGTCTTTGTTGCATTTACTGCCACCTCATAGATATTTGTGTACTTGCTGTCTGACTTTCACCACAAATTGTATATAAACTTTTCGAGGGTCGGCACTTTGCCTGTTTTATTCCCTGGTGTCTTCCCACCCCCTGGGGTTGTACCTTGGCTGGTCTGGGTGCTGGAGTCAGTATTTGTGGAGTAACTGCTCATGTCATAAGCAAGCCGTGAAGCCCACGATCACTCTGTGCCACAGAGTGTGCTCGGTGGTCTGTGCTCACTAGCTCATTTATTTCTCCCGACAACCTTGTGAAGACACCAAGGCGCAGAGCGGTGATGGCAGACCGTGGATGGGCCACAGAGCCACAGGCCCAGCCCAGGCGGCCCCGGTCCAGCGCCCACGTTCTTCCTGCTTCGGTCAGGGCCATTGCTGACCACAAGGAGGCTGAGGGTCACGTCCTTATCACCATCACTGTCAGGCCCAGAGTAGCCATGAAGTGTCCGTTGAGGCATCGTCAGCATCGTCAGGCTGCTGGATGGTCACAGCAGGGCCCAGTGTTTGATCCAGGGTCTGTTTCCTTATCGTTAAATGCGATAACATTCCTAGCAAAAGCCTCCTGTGGCCTGTTTGATCCCGAACGTGCAGCCTTGGGACCGATTGCTGCTTCTTGCAGAGCACCGTCTTCCTAATCTGCTCAATGTGACTCACTCCACGTCTGTTCTCTGACGGTTATGTGGCTTAGGAGAAACAGTGCATGTAAAGTGCCTGGTAAGTCCTCAGTTCAAAATAAATGAACTCTAGTGTGCTTCCACAAATGACCGCCCCACATAGAATACCTGCAGGAAATTGTTGACCTCGTTCTGAGGAGAAGCAGAAGGGAACCTAATCATTTGGCGGTTGTGTGTTTTAATGATGATGGACACTTAAAAATCTTAGCAGAACTTGTGTATGTGTACCTTGCATTTTTTTCCACCCTTAAGTGAACCAAAAGAATTGTATTTACTACTTTGTTTGCATGTTTTCCTTATGAGACTATTGCATTTTTTTAAACATCAGTAAATAAAACTTTAGAAAAAATAGATCTTCCTGTAACCTTTGGGTAGGCAAATATTTTATAAACAAAACACTACAAGAATTTCCTAAAAAGGAAAAGAATAAATAGGGCTGCATAAAAATTATGAACTTTCTTCCTCAAAAGATAACATTAAAATAAAAAGATTTTTAAAATAATTTTTACAAGAAACTATCCAGAAAGTGAAAGACAAGCCTTGGAGTGGTAGCGGATAGGAGTGCCACAATGGCCTCACACCCTGAACATGTAAGGCAGGCAGGCCTACAGGTCAGCTGGGGGTTAGGGAGGGGGGACCCACAACCCTTCAGAAAAAAACAGATGTTTCACAAGAGGAGATTTCCAAAATGGCCAGTCATCAGATGAGGCTGCTCCCAGCCCACTCTACACTTACCGCGGTAAATATCAGTGAGTGCAATGAAAGAGAAATGCTGGGCAGAGGTGGGGGTGGAGAGGATCCAGAACACCCCATGCTGGTACGGCTTCTTCAGCTCCCTGATGGGTGGCATCTGTAAACGCAGGTGTGTGTGTGTTATACTCCAGTCCAAGCCCATGTGCCCAACAGGAGTGCGTACACACGTTCACCAAAGGACATGCATGAGAGAGAGAGAGAGATATGGGGAGAGCATTCTGATGAAATTTGTTTCGACCACTCTTGAAGCGTGGCTTCCTGAACAATTAAATTATTTTATTCTTAGAGGAAGAAATAAAGAGTGTTTACAGCAGTATCCTCATAATAGCCAAAAAAAGCAGGAATAACTCAAATGACCCTTAGCAGTGATGTGGTATTTCATGCAATACAGCACTTTCCAGCTATGAGCGACTGTCAGCTGCTAGATTGGGTGAGTCTCACAAGAAAGCCAGTGAATGAACAAAGGCCAGACACGAAAGAGTACGTTCTGTGTGATTCCATGCGCATCAGGTCAGCTGTTGGGGAAAGTGTGGGGAGATGCCTCCCCTGCCCCGTGGTGGACAGTGACTGCTAGGACCGGGTGCCTTCTGGGCTTCTTCCCTGCTCTGTGTCCTTGCAGGATCATTGAGCTCTAGACATTGAGGTGCAGTCTTTGTGCTGAAAAGTTTGAAAATTAATGCTTAAAAATTGATTGTATTTTAGCTTATTTTTAAAATAACATTTCAGAGTAATTGGTTATGGTATACTCACAGTAATGCTGTTAATTGTAGATTATGAATTGAGAAAATTACTTATTTCTAATTGTTCTATTTTGTGAATTATTTTTTAGATATGAATTGAGAATTCGTTATTTGCCAAAAGGATTTCTAAACCAGTTTACTGAAGACAAGCCAACTCTGAATTTCTTCTATCAACAGGTATAGGAGAGTGCTTTAATATACTTTTCTCTTTGTGTCTTTGGATCCTACTTGGTTTTATTTTAGAATTAGATAAAACCTAACATTTGGGAGAATGTATATTTGTCACAGTATGGCAGTGAGAGACTTTTACCCAGTGAGTTTTGTACTTTTGACACTAAATTTTTGTATGCTTGCGCAAATCCTAAAAAATACTTCTTTAATGTGGAGACAGTAAATCCTAAGTGACACAAGCATTGGTTTGTCTTTAATTCAAGTATAATTATCGTGCTTGAATATCAACAAATTGGTCAGGTATAGAATTTATTGTCAGAGACAACTATATTCATAAAATCTCAAGAGCAGTTTGCACAATAAAGGCAGAATTGACTTTTTTGCACTGAGTTACTTGCTTTTTACCCCTTCAAATATTAGTTAAGCAATAAGCACATGTGGCGTAAATGAACCAACACAAATTGGCCAAGTATACGTTGCTTGTTAGTTTTCACAAAGAACAAGTCCGAGGAATAGCTGACATTCACACACATGTTCTGCAGTCAAGTGCACTTGGTCATTCTTTGTTTTAATAAAAATACTTATTAAATGTCTGCTGTGGGTCAAGAATGCAGAGGAAATAAACGAGATAGTCTGCCCCCTAAATTCCTCACCTGGGTGAGGATCTCCTGTGAACAGGTACTTTGTGCTCAGTCCTCTGTTGTTGAGAAGCACAGAGGATGTGGCCGTGCACAGGAGGGTCTGCTAACTCCGTGGAGGTGCGGAACCCAGGTGGCTCTCCTGGAAAGTGTCACGTGAGGAGTCTCCAGCTTTGTAGATGAAGAAGAGATGTACTTTAGGAAACATGGTGCATTTAAACCTGAGCTAAAAAGTTCTGAGAAGAAACAGGAGAGGAGATAGAGCCCACATCATGAAAAGGGAAGGTTGTAGGTTTTCTCCTGCAGAGTAAAGAGTAAGGAGAGCTATTTAAGGAATGCAGTTAGTGAAATGTCTTGATGAGAATTTTTGTCGTTGTGAAATAAGACCACACTGATGTGATGGCAGCATCTGTCATGGACTAGATGGGTCTTAAGAAGGCTGCAAGCAAGTTAGGAGGCTCTCCAGCCACGTAGGCAAGAAATGGGGGAGGTAAAGGTCTAATTAAAGCACATTTAGTGGGTGGATTTGATAGGGCTGTGAGACTTATCCAAATGGACATGAAAATAAAGAGGTGGAGTGCATCAGTCCAGGTGCCTAGTGTTGGGAAAGAGAAGAGGTAGGCTAACTTCAGGAGGAAGGCAGTAAGAAGGTAGGTCGTTTTATTTCCCGATGTGACAAAACTGGATATTCCTGCCTATAAGATCCAAGCTGTAAGAGCAGGAAGCCAAGGATGCTGTTTCCAGATATTGGGTCTGTTTTCTTGTGCCATCGGAAATGTGAAGTGTGAGGTATGGGGCCAGACAGGAACTTGGGAGGTTTACCTCGATACAGAGTTGCATGGGAGGGGGAGTTTACGTTTGGCAAAATGGAAAGAGAAAAGTCATGTTTAGATCCCAGTTGAGATTGCTGGGGGCCCACTCATACTGCAGAGATGATTTCCAGTTTACAAACTGCTCCTCATATGTGTTTTCCCAGCTCCTCCGTAGCCGTCTGATGAGCCTTGTGTTTGAGTGAAGGAGGTGACAAGAGAGTTTAGTTAACTTATACATTTGCCTTGGGTTTCTCTCTCTCATAAATAATCTTTATCACTTTTGGCATAATTTCTTTGAAAAAAATCCACCCCCCGAGGAATTCTATGACTATTTAGTGACACAGATTTCTGGAATTCACAATACAGGGTTCATTAGCTCGCAGTCCCTCCCTTTCATAACTCGTAGGCTGACCTCGCAGTCAGCCGCGTTCTTGTTCCTTCCACGCTGCTGCCAGCTGTCCTAGTTTTTCCTTTGACGAGACCTTGCTTCTGTCTCTGACTAAAAGTATGTGCTGGTGTGGCCCCAGTTTTCTCTTACTCATAGGACATCTCTCACTGCAGCCTGTGTTATTCTGTTGAAGTCTTTATGGGACCTGAGAGGGAGCGCACATACTGTCGTGTGCTCACTGCGTGTAACAGCTTTGTGAGTCTCCCTGCGCCTAAAGGTCTCATCTACTAAAATAGGTGTATTACCTATCCCGATAAATGAGGTGGAATTGTCCCCCATGCACGTACCCCGTCATTATTTGACGTTCAGGCAGCGCCAGGCTCCTGAGGATTCAGCATTTACCATCTGCAGGTCACGACACAAGTGTGAGCGGCACCTTCTAGGATAGGACATGTCCCTCTCCTTCCTGTGCGCCTCCACCCCACCCTCTGCTTTCTCCTGTTCCTGCACTTTCTCTTCCTCAACCTGACCCTTTTTAATCTTTTATAGTTGTGAAGTCATATGGCACATTTTTAGGAAGTCCTGAAAATATTCTAAAGCATCACTTAAAGTATCTTTATCCTAATAATTGCTTTCATTTTGTGTGTGATTTTATAGTATTCTACCAAGTACCTGTATTTTAAAAGAAATACAGGTGCAGTCATGATACTGCCCCTTGCCCATGTCGATGGCTGATCCATACCCGTGTCCCAGGGACAGGAGACAGGGAGGTAAAGGTGTGTGCAAACCAGAGAGAGGAGCGGGCAAGGCGGGAGGACTATTGTCATCACAACCAGTGAGTTGGCAGCTATACTAAGAGCCATGAGTATATTCGTATCCTTCAGGTTGGTATGTGGCACTGTTGGCAGTTTGGTACGGAAAAATAGTTGAACATTGGCAATTTAATATTCAAACTGAGAATTCTACTTCCAGGGGTTTACTCTAAAGAGGTAAGATCTACATGCATATGTATGTAGAGGGTGCTCATAGGAACAGTGCACCTGTTAACAGAAGGGAAATTGGAAGATTGTGTCAATAGGGTCAGTAAAAGGTTGGTTAAATAAATTCTGCTGAGTTTCAAATGTATTCACCCATCCTGACGAGAGAGGTACAACTCTGTACACGTGGAAGGCATTATGTTAAATGCTGGTGTTTAAAACAGGCCGTGTATAGAACATATATAATGTAATTCCATTTATGTGAGAAGATGTATGATTTTTATTTTTACCCTGATCTAACAAAGTTTTGAAAATAGTATGATTTTTGCATTACTGTTTTGACAGATATTTATATATTTATTCAGCTTCTTGTGCTAACCTTCCAGTGCAGAATCTGTCCTGTTGCACATGTGGAAATTCTGGAACTATTATGGGTGATCCATATGTTCACCTGTGCAGGCAGGAAATGGGCTTAATACCATTGTTGAAAAATCAGCTAGGAATTCAGAACTTCCTCCTGTTTAAACATGCGTGCGCACACGCGCGCACACAGCGTAAGTAAAAATTTGGCCTTTCAGCAGCTATTTATAGCCAAGGCCTGTTTAAATGCGAATGAAACTGAGATATTTTGTAAGAACTTGAGTGTGGAAATTTTCACTGAGTTCAGGGATAAGTTATTTAATAGAAGCCTCAGAGTTAAATGATAGCCATTCTGTAATTTTTAAAATCTTTACTATTTGATGAAAATATGTAAGATGTATACATATATGCATATGTATATTTTCACTGAATTCCAAGCTAAATGGATCCATTTTTAAGGGGCCCAGAATTGATGACCTTGATTCTTTTTAATTGTTTAGTTTGGTAACACCCAATACATGTATGTTTTTGTGCGGTGTGATACTTAGTACTAGCGTGAGTGCCTGTGATCCTATGGCCCAAATGAAGAGAACATGCCTGATGTCTCCTGGTCCCCTGTTCCTGTCACATCTCCCCGCCCCCACCCTTTCACTCCATGCAGGCAAACCTGGTCCTGTGTGTCCATCATCCCCTTCCTTACTTCCCCTTGCAAGTTGTCACATTTCACAGTGAGTGTGTGTTTGGTTCTGGCCTAGGGTAGAAGCTGACCTGAGATTTTCCCTGAGCCCTCTGCATTCCCTCAGCGGCCTGACTAGGGTTTGGATATTGTTTTGTTTGTTTGTCACCCAGCTCATAGAAGCATTCCAGAAGATTAAAAAAAAAAAAAAAGTTTTATTCAGCACTTTTAGTTGTTTTCAGTGAGCAGCCTTGTCAGGACATTTGGTCCACTGTTTTGGTAGAAATGGAAGTTGTCATAAGGTGATTTAAACATGTATCCCATTTGGTTCATTTCTAAAATAATTTTGAATTGTGGTTAGAGACTGTGGTTCATTTGATACTAGTTGTTCAAACTTTGTTTAGACCTGTTTCAGCACCTCCCACCTCCCACCTACTGAGATTTTGTCAGGGTTCTGGTTTTGCTGGAGGAGAACGTGTGTTCTGTGATTGTTGAGTAGAGTGTGACGAACACCCATGAATTCAAGATTGTTGACAGTGTTGTTCAGGCCTCCCGTGTGGCTAGGATTCCTTTTCCTGCTTTTGGGTACAAGTCAGGCCAGGGAGTGTTTTCTCTCAGAACTCTGATGTTTATTATTGCTGTTGAGAAGTTGGCTGTCATCCTGACTTTGAAGGTGATCTGTCTGTCCTTTCTCTCTGGGTGGCTTTAAGACCTTTTCTTTGTCTTTAGTGTTCAGCAGTTTTATTAGAAACCAGGTGTGGATTTCCACTCATTTTGTCCTGCTTGACCTGTGATGTGCACCCTGTACCAGGGGCTCATCTCTTTTCATCAGTTCTTTGAAGTGTCTTATGATACCGACTCAGACCTTGCCTTTTCTCCCTTCTTTGTGACTTGGCCTGAGGTCCCCATGTGGGTCCACATTAGAACTGCTCTGGCTGCCCTCCCTGTGCATCCACTTCCTTCTCCTGTCTTGGCTCTTTGTCCCCCGGGGATCCACGATTCAGGTAAATCTGTCACGTCACTGCCCACTCTCCTCAGCCGCAACCAACTTTGATGTGTAATGCATTTGCTGAGTTTTTATTTAGCAAAATGTGTCCCTTCCCCCTTTAAGAAAATCTGCCAGGCCGTTGTTAATGGCTCTTACTGTTTTCTGATTTTTCTGCCTTTTATTTCTTTACCATTTC